TGTCTGGCTTGGGGACCGCAGGTGTGTGGCTCACCTTGTTCCAGTTGAGGTTGTGGCACTCCCTGGGTAGCTGTACCTGTGGCCGGGACCCCATAGCCAGCATAAGCGCCAAGACCAGCGCACACGTCACCCACCCTGGTCCCATTGTCACCCTCCTTCCTCGGCCACCGGGGCACTGAGTTTAAGTCTCCCCACCCACCTGACCCTGCCGTAGCCGTCCAGCCAACCCGGAGCCTTGAGCCAGCCTGGGGTGGGCCAATGGGGAGGGAGAGTGGCTTTGGGACACAGGCTGGCGGCCCAGGGGCTCGGCCTGGCGGGTGCTGCCTGAATGTGAAGGCCATCGTGTTCCCCTGTGAGACCCCTGGGCCTTCCATCCTAGCCCCCCCGGAAGAGAGGCAAGCAGCCGGGAGGCGTCCCTGTGAGTCACTTCACAGGGATACTTGCACGTGAGAAGCAGGACCACGGTGAAGACGGGGCTCAGACGGCACCAGCGTGGCACCAGGGCTCTCTGTCCCGAGCAGGTGCTGACGGACAGGGCTGCTGGATGTGTGTGAGCTGCCCACCCGTAGCCTGCACGCACCGCCCCTCTCCGTGAGTGATGGGCAGCCCCCAGCCCAGCTTCCGCCACGACGTCAGGCACGGCCCCACCAGACCACGGGAGGACCCACAGGCTCGGGCCCTCTGGAATCCTGCCCCCTGCCCTGGCCCCAAAGCCCCAGGCCTGGGAAAGCCACACTCTTGTGCCCTGGACACGGTGGCACCGCAGCCACGCCCCCTGGTGGGCACCCACGCCCACTGCGTCAGCCCGCACCTGTCCAGACCCCCGAGGGTCTGCTCTAACTCAGACAGTCCTCCCTCCAGCCCAGGGACTGTGGTGACCTCTGCTTGAGGAGCAGCTGACCCCATCCCAGCCCCCACTCCGGAGCCAAGACCCAAGGCCACGTGTCCCCCACCCAGACCTGGTTCTGTGCTGTATGGCCCAGCCCTCGGTGAGCCCCACGCCCACCTCCTCCCCCTGAACCGATGAGAGCCCCAAGAGGGCAGCGCCCCGTCTGACATTGCCGTCTGCCCTCAGCACACAGGTGAGAGGCATCTGTAGGGCCTTGTGGGATCGTTTTATTTGGAACTGCAGTGTGAGTCCTGAGAGCAGCCCGCCCCACACCAAGCTCCCAGGCGGCTGAACAAGGAGGCCAGCACCTGGCCAGCCTCACAGGACTCGGCGGGCACAGTCGCCCCAGAGGTCGACGCATTCACTGAAAACCAAGGAGAGCACTGGGGGACCCCAGATTCACCGCGAGGGGTGTCTGCCCCGTCCCGGTCCCCGGCCCTTCACGGGGCGGAGCTCTGGGGTGGAGGATCTGGGGTGATGCTCGGGAAGGCAGCTTACCTGGAAAGCCTTGTGCACACAGGTGGCTAGGAGGAAAGAGGAGTTGTGAGGGTGGGCACCAGCACACACTGTGGCCACCACGCTCTGCCCACGGCCGCGCCCGAGACGGGGCCGGCCCTGCAGGCCTGGGTCTTTGTGCAGGAGCAGATGACTCCATGTAGAGCTCCCCACCCCTGCCCTGCCTGAATCCCTGCGGCCCGGCGGGACCTCGACACCAGCAGATGTCAGCCGGGGTCCCGTGGGCATCGGGTGACACTCACGGTCTGGCTGCTGCGTGGCCTGCTGCTGAGACAGGAATCCCAGGTCCTTGCTCCACCTAGCAAAGAGGCACAGGGCCTCCTGGCTGGCCAGCTCCGTCCGGCCTGTGGGGCAGGAGGGGAGCCCTCACCACTTGTGCCCCGTGCCCCAGCCACCCCTCCTGCAGGGGGCCGAAGGGCAGGGATGGTGCTCTGGGACCCTGGGGGCACGGGGCTCAGCACAGTCAGCGGGAGGATGGCCAGCATGGCCGCCCGTGGCAGGGAGTTCGTGGGGCCGGCCCGTGGTCTCCACCACTTAATGTACAGCTCCACGTTGTGGAACGCCTCATCCTTGAACTCCAGCTGGGTGAATACAATGGCGTAGTCCCTGAAGTTGGTGCCCAGCCCCCGGTAGTCCAACACTCCCAGGGCTAGGAAATACGTGCGCCCCCCAGGGGGGATCATCATACCTCAGGAGAGGCCCCCCAGGAAGCATTGTCCCCTGGTCCCCAGAGCCAGCACACAGAGGGCCTCAGGCACGGATGGCCAGTGAGTGCCTGTCCCAGCTCATGCTGGGGGGAACACTCTGCCGATCATGGCCCTCGGGGGCACCACACCAGACGGAGGCCCGGGGTCACTGCAGGGCACGCCAGGGTGAGCCCTCTGTCCTCCAACCTCTGACAAAATGCGTCCTTTCACTTTCTAGTGGAAGTCTCGGGGATGGGCCTGCTCCCCAGCCCACGGCACTGGCCAGGTGGCAGGGGACACAAGCCCAGGCTGCCGGTGGCGGAACCGACTGGAGATTGGGGAATGGCCCGGAAAGCCAGCCCATCCCCCACCGCCCCGCGCCCCACGCCCCACGTCCCGCCCGAGACCGCGGAGGCCGTCGCCTTACAGGGGTTCTCAAACACACATCCAGAGATCTGTCTCAGCAGCTCCACCACGTTCACGTCACGCCTCTCCAGCCTGGAAGAGAGACCGTCCGTCCTCGGCTCAGGGTCCGGACTCAGGCCCAGAAGAGACAAGCGTCCTTCTAGTGGCATCTGTCCAGCCACCAGCGAGCCGCGCAGGGGATCCTGGCTGCCGCTGACGGCCCCCGTTGCCCGGAAGCCTCGTTCTGCACCGAATCCAACCTGGCCTGGGAATGAGCAGACACGAGAGCCCTGCAAAGTGCAAATCGACTTCCTTCCACCTCCCAAGAGGACTCGCGTGCTGGAAGCCACGTGACGGGCACAAAAGGAGCCTCGGACAAACACAGGGTCATCTGCAATTGTGGGTAAAGACACTCAGCATCCAACGGGGCTGACGTCCCCGAAGCTGTCAGTCCCTAAAGTGAACAAACCACAGAAATGTAGCGGTCTTTGCTCACTAAGATGAGCTCATGGCTGGGAAATTCCAGAAGGAAGAACAACAGGCAACAGCCATCCAGTAAACTGAGGCAGTGGGGCACAAAGCTGCAACAGGTGAAATTACGCGGTTTGGAAAATCAGAAGACTGACCAAAGGGATGAATGGGAAGTCCAGAAACAGGGGCGCCTGGGTGGCTCCGTCCATCAAGCGTCCAACTCTCGGTTTCGGCTCAGGTTGTGATCTCGTGGTCGTGAGACTGAGTCGGGCTCCGCGCTCAGCGCAGACTCTGCTTGAGATTCTCGACCCCACCCTCCGCCCCTCACGCTCGTGCTCTCTCACTCTCTCGAGAATAAATAAATAAATCCTAAAAAGAAAAGTCAAAATATAAAGCAAAATGGGAGCATGGGAATTTAGCGCATGACAAAGTCAGCCAGAGTCCGTGGAGACAGAGAGGCAATTCGATAAATGACGTTAGAAATTGGGTAATAATCTAGAAAAAACCAAGTTGATCCTCCTTTTCTCCCAGGGTCAAATCCCAAATGCAGCAAAGATGCCAGAAGCACCAGGGAACTGGAAGCCGTTTCCTAACTGTGTCACAAAAGCCAGGAGCCCCGCAGAGAGAAAGCTGGTGTGCCTCTACACATAAATGGAAAGAAATCCTTCATGTATGTAAAACTAAAAGAAGTCCTCCTCAATGTTATAAGAAAAATGACAAACTGGGAAATACATTTGCAACTGGATTCTGTCACAGACAAGTGCCTCATATTCCTATCCTTAAGGGTTCTTACAGACCAGGAAAAACACACCTCAGAGAAAAACACGCTAAAGATGTGACCAGGCAGTGCATTGGGCAGGGAGCACGTACACCGCGATGCTCCCGTCCTTAGAAGGGGCGCGTAGAACCTGAAGGGGGCCGTCTGTTGCCTATCAGATGTCGGAGAAGTGGGAGCACAAGAATGCCAGGGCGCTGGTTCAGGAGACCGGCCACGTGGGGACCCCTGGGAGGCGAGAGCACCAGGGCCCATGCCCCACAGGGTGTTTCTAGGTGCCGAAGATTGGAGAGTACTGTCTGTCGAGCAGCAGAGCCCGGCAGGAGGCCTGTGGAGTGTCACGCAGCGATCAAAAAGAGCAGAGCACCCTGGTAAATGTGAAATGGAATCCCTGTATGGCCCAAAGATCCCCTGCAGGGTGCACACCCAGGAGAACGGAAGGGAGACTTGCACACCCATGTTCATGACAGCACCATCGAAAAAACCAGACGGTGGAAGCAACCATGGGGCCTGTCCACACCATGGAACATAATTGAGACTTAAAAAGGAAGGAAATCTCGACACCTGCTACAACGCGGATGAACGTGGAGGACACGGTGCCGAGTGAGATCAGCCCGGCGCCTGGCGCAAAGGGACTGATCCCAAGGGATCCACTCTCCGTAGGCCCCAGAGGAGTCGGACCCACAGAAATAGGGGCGGGGGAGGGGAGGGGTCCGTGTTCAACGGGGACGGACGGAGGGGGACGGCTGCCCAACAGTGTGAATGTGCTTGACGCCCCTGAGCTGTGCGCTTAAAAGGAG